AAGAGCGGAATAAGGAGATTGTATGATCTGATGTTTTTCAATAGCAATTGAGTACTCGGTGTTAAACTGCTGGGAAAAATGAAAAGGATGGTAGTCAAAGTAAACAATTTGAAAACGGGCATGAAATTTGCTTGAAAACTGAAAACAAGAATTTGTACTTCCATTTTACACAGTTTCGTTTTACCATTTCATAACGCCCAAAAACACGGTTCGATAATTCCTTAATCACCTCCTCCTCGTCTTTTTCCTCCCTTCTGTACCTTCTGTATCGTTGTTGGTCGACATATTTGTTTAGTGCTTTTTAGAAAACGAAATGATTTTGTTCCTACTATATGCTCAATTGATTTAATTAGCATCAGTTCGCAGTGACGATATATGCTTTCTTTAATGCAGTTAGAATGTTTATTGTATTTCCAACACAATGTTTTTTTTATCGATGGATTGAAGTTTTGCATCTGTTTGCAATTCCTTTATGATGCTATTATTGTTGCCAAAAGGAAAGGAGGAGAAAAAAAGGGTTTAAAAAATTTTTGAGTAGTTTGACCTATTGTCTCTTGTCGGCATTATTGATGTCTTGTTTAATTTTTTTCTTGGTTGAAATAAGTGCTGAAAAATTTTCTCAGCTAATGAACAAGAGTTTTGCAGGGATCTTACGATGCTTCAAATTAGCATGAATTTGAACAGTAACAGTATGTTTTAGCTTTCAAAATAGCAACAACAGAAACTTCTTGTATGATAATTTGCATGTTTGTTACAGTTGGATATTATTTGACAAACTGTTACCATTAATGTCAAGTGTTCGGCTATAAAGCTTGGACCATTATTATTTATTGATCACGTACTGCTTGTTTTTTCGTCGTTTTCGAATAATGGATTTGATAGGAACAATAATTTCAAATTTTTTTTCTTCACATTATCACAAAGTGAGATTTGAAGTTGGCGATATTAACTCAGCTTTATCAGCACTGTTTGGCACCATTTAAATCATTTAAAGTTTTCTTTACCAATTTTGTAACTCCTGACAATGTTTTCGTGATTGAATATTCACGATTTATAAGACGTTTAGGACGAACATAAGACTCTGAGTGTAAGATTATTTGCCAGATATTGCATTTTCTGGTTAGGATTATTTTGAGGAAACAGTTATTAGTAAAGTAGACTTCACACAGTCATATTCTAAAACTTATTTGATATCTGTAGCGGTACGCAAACCGTTGAAGTGGAATATTATTGTAGTTATTATATTACCGAAAGGTACTCAAGTATAGTGCATATGTAATATGACACATTAGGATTGATCATTTCACATTTTTTATTGTAAGATCTTCTAAGGGGCTGGGGGGATAGGGGGACAGGGTATTATAGTGTGGTAAGTTTTGAAGAAATTTGTCTTTTAAGTGCTTCGTAAAAATCACTGTGGATTTGCATTGTATCGGTTATATAGAAAAAAAAATTTTTTTTCTAATCGTACCAACAAACATCGACAATTTATAAACTGTTTTCGATCGGATGAATGGTCGAGCAAAAACACCGTTCGTCTTGATCTATGTCAAAACATCTCCGGCTACATTTAGTTGCTTCTGTTATTTTTTAAAAGTATTTTTGTTTTATTCTTCTTTTTCTGTTTTCAACTAACATAAAAACTTTCCATTTGTTGTTCTTCATTTTTTTTTTCTGCATAATAAATCAGAAGAAGTCTTATGTGATTAATTTTTTTTAAAATTACTTTAGTGTCACAAATGAGATATGTAGAAAAATTGTTTAATGGTTCTTAATGTTGATTAATTTTAAGTTTTATCGGTTTTTGTTCAGCATTTTTTTACTTTTTTTTTTTTT